AGAGATTAAACAAATGAAATTTGAGATTTTTGACATGAAGAAAAGTATTTTTAATCTTAACATGAAAATCACTTTGTACAAGGACTATTGAAAACAAATACTCAATATATTCATGGACAAATCGTTTATTTAGTTTATTAAAAAATACTTCACCAAAAATATGATTTTTTGTATGTGAAAGACTTGTAATGTGTACTGAAAGACTGCCAAATTTTGTGAAGATATACATACTATATTGAAAGTTAGTAGTATCAAATCTATAAAGACTAAATGAGTACAAAGAGGTCACATGGTCGGTCAAATCGACTGAGCTTGTGCTGATAGAGTTAAAATGTATTTCAGATAGAAATTCACCTCTCCACAGAACACCCACCCTTCCGGTGTATCTTTTGTCTTTTCAAGAATGAACCTGAAAGAGAATACTGGATAAGGTGGATATGTTGCCCTCCTACTGGTGGAGGGCTGTAGGCTAATGCTGGTTTCATCATATACTGGCACATTACACAAATTCTTTGGTATAGGGGTGGGAGCTTCATTCAAAGACTTGTTGCAGGTAAAGTAATGAATAGTTAGCTGTTCTATGGAGAGATGACTATCAATCTGAAATACATTTTCTGGTAAGGAAAATTTTAACTTTCTTTTTTTAGCCTTCTGAATAACATGGTTTGCATTTAATTAATTTAAATACATAATTTAATTTTTTTTAAGTTTCCTAATTTGAAAATAATCTTTTAGATAAACCAGGTGTGACTTGTCCAATCTCTGATACAAGATTTTTTCAAGCTTATTGAATGGACTCATCATTATTCTTTTGCTTCTCTCTCTCTCTTTCTCTCCTTTTTTTTTGCAAGGTTTCTGTGAATAGTTCTAGACTTTTAATTGGACTTGTCCATCAAATGTATAGGTAATAAGCATATCTGACTGTGGATTGGATGTTTTAAGGATATTTGATAAGCTGTGGATTAAAAGTTTTCCTTATTTTGAGAGATGCTGTTAGTCAAACATTAGGTAAGTAGCACTGCATGATGTATAATTATATTTGCTTACTATTTCTTGTAAAGTATAGCAACATTATGGCACTTAAAAAGATTTTAAAATTTATTTGCCTACCCTTAACAAACAATATATATTAAGATAAAAAGCAGAACACATGCTGTAGTAAAAAACATTATAAATTACAACATAATGTTAAGAACTGCCCATTTCTGTTTGGTGATCTAAAAACATGATGAAACAAAAATGAAGCTCCTTCTTGGCCAATTGAAATGAACTTTATTTATGTAAAAAGCCTTTCATAAGGTATACCAGATACAGCAAGGTGGATGGTAATTGAGAATTGTCTATCAGCTAACCAGAAAGTTAATGTAAACGGTGAGGCACAGTTAATTTTATACCTGTTGAAAGTTTTATTGGTACAGTCTGTTTTGGTATTTTAAATTTTATGGATACACTTAAATATAACTAATAATTTGAGTCAGGCCAATTTATTTGTATTCTTATACCTGGTTCAGATAAAAGAAAAACTTTAAACTACTTACTGCTATTTAATGATCATAGTTTATAATATATATAGTTAAGAACTCGTACATTAAAGTACTTCCAAGCAACTAAACTGGTTCAGTGATAAGCCAGAGTTGTTATTCTTGGTATCCAAGCAAGGTAATCTTACCATTCAGCTCAAAGATCCAAGTTTTATCACTTCTCTCAAGCAAAATTTCACCTTAAGAAACTGATACAAGTGTTTAATAAAAATTGTTCATCAGTGGTTTTCAAGCATTATTATTAGTGACGAATAAAATTTTCTCTCTTTCGATTTTCTGTTATTTGATACAACATACTATTAAAAAGTATGTGAAACAGTCAACATTAACACACTCAATTAATTAAATGCATCAACATGTTTGAATCTCTCTTTGTGTATACACATTACATAAATAACATGTAAATAAATAGATGATAATTGTGAAAAGTTGATCCCATACTTATATATAGATAGGTATAAGAGATGTTCAAAAAGAAGTGATTCTTACTAACTTAGGCCAGCCTTATTAGATTTCAACCAAGAAACATCCACCAAGGATGTTAACGATGTGGAGTCATTTTTCAACACATCGGTGTGCCATTATAGTATATTGTTCTAAACCAGTATTATCCAAGTTGCCATTTTGTAAGTATTGCACACCACTTATCATTGGAAACACTCATTGTATAATTCTTCTAGCAGAATAGATATAATAACTTGCAAACACAGTCATTTGTTCATATTCATTGTGATGTCAGGAATTATTATTATTCACATACAGTACATTTCGGATACGTTTACTGATACTGTAAATGAAATACTAATTTATAGTTTTTTGTTGTAGATGATAAATTGTTTAAAGTGAATGTAGTGGAACCTTGGAACAGTGTCCGGGTAACTTTTAGTGTGCCTCAAGAAGCCGCACAGCGACTGTGTCGGTTAGTCGAGACAGAACCCCATGTCCTTCGAATGCTGGGCATTCTCTCAGTCCAGGTTGAGGGTAGTCAGGTATGTTTCTGATTATTGGTTCATTGAACAGATAAGTAAAATTAATTACACTTGAAACTGTTAATATTGGTTTTTATTTTATAATGCACAGGTATAATTTCATAATTCCTTTTCTGTGTGTTAGTGTTTATCAGAGGTAGTACTGAAAGTGACAACATACACTAATATTAGTGAAATATAAGTATTTGTAGCAAATATACAGAATATTTCAGAATAAAGCATGTATTTTGTGCATGTTGATTGTAGTGATTATTTAGTAGATAATTAACAAAAAGAAAAATTATTTATTTGCAAATTGTTCTAACACTGCTTATTATATTCCATGCTCATTAATACACTTTTCACACAATTTCATTATGATGTCTGTTATTTCAACTAAGAATTTGCACCACATGCATCTGAAGTAATGAATTTCACACTCTTCTTTTACATTGGAATGAGGATGTGAAATGAATGCAGTCATATACTTTTCAAACTCCATATCTAGGCATGATGAAAATAGGTTGTCTGGATTATTACTGTGATAAGTTATTTTCCAAGTAATACTTTACTGTTAGGTTTTTCATTTTTCCACATATGCCACATGATAGTCATTTTCAATATTCTTAAGGTATTGGAAAAATAAGTCATTGCTATTACTATATGAGACTTACCTTGAATCATTAAACTCACTATGTAAAGTCAAATTTGGCAACTATTTTGTTGCTTTAGTAGGTTCTTAACAAATGATTGATTTGACATATTATTTGCAAACAGTTTTGCAACCTGTGCATGCTTCATTCTAATTCTCAGAAATAACTAACAACAATTGTGATATTTACATATAATGATGCATAGTTTCCTCTGGACTTTTTTTTTTCAGCCAACAAATAATGTTAACAGCTAGCGTATATTTGGTTTAGCTACGCAACATTGCAACCAATTAATATGTCATGTTGTGAAGATATCAATTTTAATGCAGGCTTTTGATTACTACACTTTACCATGATGAAAGGGCTAGCTAGTACTAGTTTTTTGTTCTTTCTGTCAGAGGCAGTACTATCATTTCCTGTATAATTACAAGACCAGCAGTAAAGAAAGGCAGCTTATTTAAGTGGAATACAATTTTTGTTTTCCACTTTTGTGGCCTACCTCCATTTTTCTTAGGTTTATTGGCATTTTCCAGTGTGCTTGTTTGTGAAAAATATGCATGGTCTTTGTTCTAAACTTACAGTTGCAGATGGTAAATTACTGTCAAAATCTTAACCAGATTACCACATGTAGTGTTGTTATCTGGAGTTAAGTCCCTCCAGGATAAGTAGAACCAGAGTTTTTAATTCTAATGTAAGAATTTTTTTTGGCCAACAAAGTTACTTGCACATTATCCAACCTAACAAATTTAAGAATATTTACATATTTTTGATTTCATATTCATATACTTCTTTACTGAACTTCCCGTTTTAAATCTCAGGAAGATTTGAAAATGAAAACCCAAAAAATAAGTAGGTTGGACATGACCTAGTGGTTAGTGTGTCTCAGGTTTTGAGACTTGAAATTGCTAAATGTGTTCTGTACTTATGTTAGTGGATGCATCATAAAAGTAACAGTTCATCCCATTATTTGGTTCAAAGAACTGGAAAAATTCCTACTTTGGTAGCAAATGCTGCTGGCTAGCTACCTTCCTTGTGGTTAGTAGTTCAAACTTATGGATAGTTTTACAAGAATCCTATGGTCGTTTAGTCCACATTTGCAGAGTGTGTTGTTTTGGTTGAAATTTTCAATTCCATAAGATAAACCATAAGTTACTGGCAAAAGATTTAGAGCAATGCAACATCAAGAAGTTATCTCAATTTTTAACTGAAGTTCCTTTTACAACTCACTTCAGATGTCAAGCTAATAAAAAAATAATTATAAATCCATGTCTGCAAAATTCAGTTTAGCAAGTTAAAAGTGCAATAGTTGGATAGTTTTCTGTCTATAGGCCAATAAAAATTACAGATATATCAACTTCTGAAGAACTAAAAAAATCCTCATAAAATTGTGGAAAAGCTTGTAGAATAACTTAAACATAAATCAGAATTGGAAACTGTAAAATAGTATACTATATCAATTATAAGGTTTAGGTTTTATTCAGTATTTAGGACTTTTTAATCATTATAATTGACAGAAAATTTTAAAAAGCTTTTAGGCCAAACTTATGATTCAAGCAGAACTGAACTTTTAAATGCATGTATTATTTTTTCATTTCAGCTAAATGCATTGACTTTGCCCATCCACTATAGAAATATCCTGGATCAGGTTTCTCAACAGTCTGAAGTTTCACAGAATGCTGACCATACTCCTACATCTTCTGCTATTGTTGTAACTTCAACTAGTGATCTTTTAGCTCTAAACAGTTTTGACTCCGACATTACTGATGATGTACAGCAGCAACCATCTTCTACTGGAAATACATCACTGATGACATCAGAAGCTTTTGTTACGTGTCAATCTCAAGTTCTTGTGAATGCCCATACTGTCTCTCGTACATCACCTTGTGAAAACGTGTTACCCTCAACAAGTTTACAGATTTCCAGAAATAATATAAACAATACAAACAACACTTTTCAGTGTTCAACTTTCCATTCAGCATCAAATTGTGATAGAGTTTTGGTTTCTTCTCAATCTCAGGTTTTCTTGAATGCACAGACTTTCTCTCTTTCAAATCCTTGTAACACTATTTTACCTTCAACAAGTGGCCTTCATGTTCCCAGTTGTCATGTGAATAGTATAAACAATGTAAATCAGAGCTCCAGTTTTCCATCTTCTAGTTTTAGTGTAGTCACTACAACAGCATTAGCCACATGTCAATCTCATGAGTTAGTGGATGCATGGACTCACCTTTCTCCACCATCTGCTAGTGTTTTCTCCTCAGTTAGTGAGCCTCTAGCTTCCAGGTCAGAAAGAAGTATTCAGTGTCCAAGTTGGCCATCAACATCCAATATGAATACATTACTAACAACATCAACAGTGTGTGGACCATCATCAAACTTGCAAACATTAACAACACCAGCAGTGGAAGGGAATAATAATCATAGAAGTTTTCCATGTTTAAACATGGATGTTTCAGAAATAGAACCACATGTCAGAGATTACCAGAATATATATAATATTCCAGTTTGCACTTTTAATTCAACATGTGTTTCACCTTTTCAATGCCATAAAAATCCAATTTTTCAGAATTCAAGTGCTTTTTTACATTCATTTACTGATAGATCTTGCAGTCCTAAAATAAACGTAATTTGTAGCCCTTCAGCTAACAGCTACTCCACTGCTATAACAACTCCAAGAACTTTTCAAGATCTAAGATACCCAAATCAAGGCATTGCTGCATCCAGTCCTTTGTTAGTTAGTCTCCTGCAAAATTCCAAAGTGAACTCATTAATGCCTCCACCAAATACTGTTCAACCTTTAAAACGCAAACGTAGACAGAAACGAAATTCAGTTGTTGGTGCTGAAGCTGCAGGCTTTCCTCATGAATTAAATTCTTTGCCCACATTATCACTAAACCAGAAAGCCCCGGTGTGTACTAGAACACCTGAAACTTTGACTGTTACAAATTATACTTCTGGTAACGTTCATGGTTGTCTTGGAATTCCTTTGCTCAGTTCAGCTTCAGTTGTAACTCCTTCACAGTTTCAAACACAGAATCATTCTCAGACACTTACTGAAAGTCTACATTTTAAAGAGGACCTCAACAATTATACACAAGTTGAAAATCACACTTCTGGTTCTGTTTCTTCTGTAAGTTTTAGAGGAAATATTGAAACATCAAATCAAGCTTCAAACTCCCATTGTGGTGTTCTGTCTAGTCTATCTCGTGTTCCTACTACATTAACACAGTTTGATATTCATAACAATTCACAATTTCTTAAAATGCAATCCACATCGGTTAAAAACACTAGATGCCTTGTAAATCCTTCTACAGGGAAGCTGGAAGCTATGCCAAATGATGAGAAAGAATATAAGAATCCTGTCAGTGAAAAGATAGAGAACATGCAGCCAAAACCTGATTTATACAAAGAATGTCTGCAGTCGGTCCCCTTAAATAAGGGTGAAAATAATAAATCTGACACATCTATAACATCAAGGAATTTAGAGAAAATTACATTGGTACGAGAAGTGGAATCTGAAGGAAAACTTCACAGTTCTCCAGATACCTGTAGAAACATGCATGTAGATATACGAGACAAAGACAAAGGACAGTCTCTAAATTTTATAGAGCCATGTAATTTACAGGATTACATGTTATGTGAAACAAGTACAACTGTGGTAGAGGATTCCCAAAGGAATTGTGATACATCTAGCAAGTATAAAAAAATTGATGCAGTTTCATTCTCTTCAAGTATGAGTAAAAATAATCAAGTTTTTGGAAGCATTGGAAGTGTTAATAATTTTTCAAGTGTTGTGAATGATGAAAAGGCAACCAAAGAAAATGATATTCAGAACATAGAAAACCTAACAGTAAAAAATAAGAAAACTATGAATAAAAAACTGCATCTTCAGTTATCAACTTCTAAAACTGATGCTTGTAGGTTTCTTGGACAAGATGACTATAACAACTGCAATGACTTAGTCACTCAACGAGACCATCCTCTATCAAGAAACCATGATGTTCTGTGTAATGATGCTATAGGGAGTGTGCTTTCTAACATCAGTTGCACAGGAGAAGTTACATTTAAAAAAGAATGCAATATGTTTGATAAGATGGAAGCAACAGAGATAGAAGATAGTACTCGAAGAGCTATTACAAAATCACACACTTCCCTGCTGCAACACTCAGTATTGCTTTCAAAAGCTATACATGAGAGTTTGTCCTCATCTCAGGATCATGAGATTGTCGTTGAAAATGATGGAGAACCCAGTAGATGCAAACACCTATGTGATATAGAAAGAAGTCGAAAACCTATCAACTTTCAACATCATAAAACTAGCCCTCCTGAAAAGGAAAATAACTTGAACTCTGATATTAAATTGTTGGGAACTAATGGACTAACAAGTCACAGTAAGTATATGTTCTGCAATAGAAAATATAGGCAACTAAACATTATGTCTGTCATTGATATTTTTTGTTAATTACCTTCTAGTAAATGTATACTTTTTTTGCAGAATAGAACAAGCTCAGTAAAAATAATAAACCTGATACTATTCAGGGCTTCACCAAGGTGAACTATACAATCTCAAGTTATTTTTTCAGGCACACAATCTCTTACCTCCATAGCTAATATATATTCTCCTTGAATACCTAACATAAATGTAAGATATAGATTTTATAAATGTATTTTTTAATTAATAATTTTATTTCCTGTCCTATTGAATGTTTTATTTTTGATTAATCTGCAAAATAAGGAGCTAATTTTAGTAGCTGTGCGAGGGAGTAAATCCATGTAGAATCCTAGTGTAATCATAGCTGTGCTTTACTCCCTCTACATGGAGAATGCACAGCTATGATTACACTAGGATTCTCCAGAGGGAGTAAATACATGGAGAATCCTAGTGTAATCATAGCTGTGCTTTACTCCCTCTACATGGAAAATCCTAGTGTAATCATAGCTGTGCTTTACTCCCTCTACATGGAGAATCCGAGTGTAATCAGAGTCAATCAAATCTAATTCTCATGTTTGCGTTTAAGTCCAACTTGGCGAACTTTATTTTTGTACATGTTCTTGTGACATTTTATTGGAGTGTTAACTTAGCCAAAGCAATTTCAGCCTTTTTCACTTTGTTTTTTTTTATTATATTCTGCTATGGCTGTTCTGGACACCCATTCTGGCCAGTTCAGCCCAGGGATTAGTAAGATAACTGTTAGCTAGATCAATGTGGGTGCATTATAAAAGTGACAGTAAATCTTGTTGTTTGTTCCCGCTTAGCCCGTGTTTGCATAACTAAGATGCCATTCATTTGAAAATTCCAAACATTTTTCTCTACGCCAAGAAATACATTTATGTGAAAAGCTTATCAAAGTCCCAAGTCACATGACTAACTTAATATGATATACAACTATGTTCATGATACTAAAGTACATTACTCTCCTTGACCAAGTCTTCAATAATGGAGCAAAATGTGAAACATTATGACATGAATATCTAAAAGAAGGAATTTAAGGACACTTTTTGCATTTTGGATACAAGTTTTAATTTATCCAGTGGGGCAGTAAACATAAGATATACTGTTAGAAACATATTACCTCATTGAATAGATAAATTTTTTCTTCCTTGGAATACTTATTACATTTTTGTCACATAGTATTAACTGTTTCAACTCGGGCTTGGTCCCTGGAAGCGACCTCATAACCATTTTGTGCTTGCTATAGTTTTCATGCTATAACTTTTAAATTAGTAGCGAAATTTGGTGGTTTATTAGTAAACATTACAATGCTTTCATACACAAAATATCTAAATTTTTTTATTAAGTCATAAGGTTTGTAAAGCAATATTTCTCTCATGCCTTTTTGCATGTTGCCTATCTATCATGCAAAGTAATTTTCATTTTAAGATTAAAAATACTTTTATGCATCAGAAAATTTTCAAATTTCACATGCAAAATCTTTATAATGTCTAGATAGTTATCAAACATTTCTTAAGAAAAACTTTATATTTTATCTGGTATTTTCAGTTATTAATCTTTGTACGGGTTCGATAGATTTGACCGATCTTGTAACCACCATAAAAATTAGGAAATAAATATAAATTATGCCTCTTTCATTCTAGAATGACTATAAATTATAATATGAAAATATAAATGTTTAGACTAAATACCTTAAATCTCATAACATTATACATTTATATAGATTTATTATTTTTATTATATTGACCTTTCACCCATGCCTGGCTAACAATACAGAAGTTACAATGACGTGGCTCACATACACTCATGTTACCGTATCAAATAACGTAAAGGTGACCTTAAAGTAACTTGTCTTAACTGTGTTTTAGTCAACTAGTGTTTTGTAAAATACAGTCACATTTCAATTATTATACATTATATATGTATACAGCATATTACTATTTTGAAATAAATTCTTCAAGTTATTTTTTCTAAAACATAGAACAGTAAATAAAGAAGTAAAGTAAACAATTATCTCTTCTAGTTACGGCCTTTGTGCTGCTTGACGTAGGTTGCTAAGCCTTTAAAAATTTTGCACGTGGAGGATATGAAACAGAATATTTATTTTAGGTTTTTATATATACTTTTGAATAACTAAAAAATCATTAATTACTACATCAATACCGTAGAATTCTACTATAATTTATCAAGCTTAGTAACTAAGCTGTATTTGGGTCTAAAAAAATATTAAATTTCGAGCAGACTAAAGACACAACCTACCTCATTGAAATTTTGATTCAAAAGAAAGAAATGGCACTAGGTACATTAGAAAGGCTGAGAAAATCACTAGGGGGACATTTTGAGCTTCTGATTGGTAAGTGTATATAAGGGAGCATTTCCAAAAATGGAAAGAGGTGAGTGGTATGCCACTGTGTTTGGTTTATTACGTGAGCAATATCTTAGCAAATAGAAAAGATAAGACCTTTACATTCTAGCTTGTCAATATCTGTAATTTGAGTTTTTAATTCACGTGAAACTATAGACTTAGTATTTTGACTTCACAAACATCTAATTTGAACCAGTGCTGCATTCAGCAGACCATGTGACACACAAAAATCAATGTTTATCTGTTCGATGACGAGGAACCCACTTTGAGACTAATAATGGCTGGAGACGGCTTGAATGGGTAATGAAGAAAAACTTTAATACAACAGCAAATGTACAACGTTTCAACAAGGTTTTGTCATCATCAGGTTGTCGAAACGTTGTACATTTGCTGTTGTATTAAAGT